AAAAAAAAAAAAAAAAAAAAAAAAAAAAAAAAAAAAGAGAAAATTCATTTTATATTTATAATTCACAGAATATATAGTATATCAATAGTTTCACGTATAAAAATATATGATAACAATAAGAAAAAAAAAAAAAAAAAAAAAAATTTAAACCTGATCTTTATTTATATTTGATGATCTAGTATTATATGGACTTCTAGAGTTATTAGAAGAATGTCTAATATATCTACTGTTGTTATTGTCCTTTTTATTATTCATTTCTTTATTTTTTAATCTATCACTTTTTCTTATATATGTATTAGATACATTTTCACCATTATTTTTTTTTTTTCCATTTCTCTTTCTACTTTTTCTAGGAGATTTTTTTTGTTGATTATTTCTTCTATTGGACTTATTCTTATCATTTTTTCGTTTAGTTCTACTTCTGTTTCTTCTATACCTCTTGCTATAAGAGTTTGAAACATTACTATATGTATAATCTTCATTATAATAATCGTCATCATCTTCATCATCATCTTCGTCATCATCTTCTTCATCATCACCAGTAAAATACTCAGCTGACTGATCGCTCGTAAACATAGAAGAAGCTTCACTTATAATAGCTATTTCTGTGTTCCTCTCTGAACTAGCAATATTCTCATAATTTAAAGAACTGTTAATATTATTATTATATAAATTATTTCTAAACATAGAAAAAATATCATTATATCTAGCATAACTTGAAAAAAATGAATTATTAAAAGTTCTTGTATTTGATAAATCATAATTATCCAATGGTGATCTAGCATAAACAGAATAAGAATTATAAAATGCACAAGTCATAATATGATCTATATTTTTGATTATACAATTTCTTCCTTTTAATGGATAATTATTTAATAAATTGTAATTTTCTCTAATTATTAAATTTTTTAAATATTTTTCTTGTAAAATATGTAACAAGTTCACTATGTGAGAATTCATATATGCCATCTTATTATTATTTGCATATACAAATAATTTGTAATCAAAATCTTTTTTATTTTTATCTACCTTTTCATAATGATTTAAATAACTTCTAAAAAAATCTTTTAACTTTCTGTTATAGCTACTTTTTCTATTATAATAAATATAATTATCTATATTATCTTCTTCTTTGCATGGTAATCTTTTTAAAAATCTATAAATAATAGAATTATCTAATTCTTCTTTATCTTTTTTATTATAGTAATTATTAAAAAATAGGTTATCATTTAAATCCCTATATTTATTATAAATTTTATTTATTCTCATAACATTTATATAACTTCTCTTGCTTTTTTTAGTATTACTATTTTTAAATATTTCTAAATACTTATTGATTTTTTTAATGAATTCATTTTTGTTATCTATTTTATTCTTGACTGATTCTGAATTAGAAAAATTATTTACAAAAATGTTTGAATTATTACAGGAGGCAATATTATAATTACTATTGCCTTCATTCATAATCACACTATTATCATTTGGTATTTTATCATTTGATTTATTGAAATTGATATTTTCATAATTAATATCTTTATTAAAAATAACGTTATCTGAAATATTATTAAAATCTAAATCATCCCTTATTTCAATAGTTTTGTGTTTGTTTTTACTATGAATATTATTAATGTTATTATTATTATTATTATTTAATGACTTAATCTTTATATGATTTTGTATCATTTTATAAAGTATATCATATAAGAGTATATTTTTATAAGTCATTTGATTATTTTTTAATTTTTTTTTTAAATAATTCATATAACTTAAATATATGCCTAATGAATTAATTTTATTTTTTTTTAAAAATTCAAAATAATTATTACATGAATTAAAGCTAGAAAATCTAGGAAGCAATGATTGCAGTTCTTGCTCATATATTTTAAATTTTTTATCAACAAATATATTTGTATTATTAAAATTATTTAAAATTGATTTGCTTTCTTCTTTTCTTACTTTTTTTCTTTTATACGATATATCATTGTAGTCTATATTTTTTAATAATTTATTATATAACTTTTCTTCATTCTTCTTATTATCACTCCTTTTTTTTATTATATGATCATTTTTTGAATAATTTGAATATGGGTGATAATTCATTTTTTCATTTTTAAATCCATTAAAAAAACTAACATTATTATATTTATAATCGCTATTTTCCCATTCATTATTTATAATATTATTATATATATCATTATTGACAAAATGATCATCACTGTCATACCAATCACTTTCATAAAACCTTTTATTTTTGCTACTTTCTCCATCAAGACTATTATTTGAAGACTCGTTTAAGTAATCTGTATAATAATCATATTTAGAATCATCACTAAAAAAGCTAATAGAACTATTTTTGTCAAAATCGGAATCAACATCACTAATAACTTGTTCTTTTTTTAAAAAATACGGTTTTATACCATCATTATCTGAATTAAAATATTGTTTTAATTTATTTATTGTTTGATTTTTTGAACTTTTGTTATTTTCTGATGAACTATCCTCATCCAGTATAAATTCGTTTGATTTATTAGATGGAACTACACTATCATTGATTTGAATAAAATTCTTATTTTTATTTATATCTATAACTTTATTTTTATTCTTATCATAAAAATTAGAATAATTATTTATTACATTATCAATATTTATAACTTCTTTTCTTGCATTTATATTTTTTTTGATGTTTTCATTATGAACATCTTCTACACTTATAACTTCATTATTTATATTTTCTATATTTTCTATATTTATAATTTGTTTTTCTCCTGTAAAATTTTTATTTCTTATGAGCTCACTATTATCTAATATTTTTACGTCATCATTTTTATTATTTTTATTTCTATAATTTTTCTTTTTTCTTAATTTTTTTTCTTTATTTGAAAATTTTGAATTGCTATCAGTGTAAAGTGTATATATTGTCTTTGCTGAACTCGAAAAATCAGAGCTTTCATCTATATTTGTGTTATTCTTGCTACTACTTTTTTTATTTTTACTCTTTTTACTGTTATCATTAGATTTATTATTATTCACATTATCATTTATATTAATATCAACATTGCTATTATTATTATTATTATTATTAGCATTATTACTTAAATTATTAGTAACACTATTCCTATTATTAATATTTCTACCACTTTCGTTGTATGCCGTATATGAATCATATATATAAACATCTGACATAACATTTAAATTATCATAATTTTCAGTATTTTCATTTGCATTTGATTCATTTAAATAACAAATTTGTGATGAGGTAATTTGTTCCGTTAAGGTGAATTTATAGCAAAAATTTTTGTTCATTGTAAAAATTGAAAAATAACCATAATTATGTGCAACAACAAAAATATGACCATTTTTATTCCATTCAGCACTTATATTTTTTAATTCACTATCATAAGAAAATTTTTTAATAATTTTTTTTTTTTGTACATTTAATAAGTAAATGTATTTTCTAAAACATGCAAAAAGAATAATATCATTATAAAAAGGATTTGGCTCAATAAAACTAACAAAACTATCACATTTCTTCAAATCAAAATATTTAATTTCTTCATATGCTTTTGTGTTAAATATAGATAAATTTGTTTTCATTGTAACAGCATTAATGTTTTCCTTTGATGCATTAGATTTATTTGTTATTCCATCAGCAACTATTATATATTCATCTGTATTATTAAAAGCTATGTTACTTATTTTGTAATGTAGCTTTTTCGCACGTAACTTTGATTTATTGTTGGATTTTTCATTATATATACAATGAATGCATCTTTGATGCTGTTCACATTTATTGCAATTATTTTTTAAAATGTTATAACTTACATCATAACTTTTATTTATACAATTATCTCGATAATGTCCTTTATGTATTTTTTTTTTTCGTTGCCTTTGATTATCTACTTTTGATAAATCTTCCTGGTCACTTGAAGAGTAACAATAAGAAGAACAAGACGTTGATGATATAATAAATAAATTATTTTCATTTTCCTTATTTATTTCGTTTAATACATTTTCGTTTTTATTTTTTGCTTTGCTATTTTCGTTAATAACTGATGATTCTAATAAAAACTCTATATATAAGGATGTATAAAAACAACAAATAAAAATTTTATTATCTTTTTTTTTTTTGTTTATATCATTCAAATAATTTTGAAAATTCCATAAATAAATTGATCCATTTGTATGAACAGTTACGAAATCAGCTGAATTATTTGAAAAAGTGAATAAAAATATTTCTTCATTGAAATCTTCAAATTTTTTAAACATAACAAAACCAATATTGTTTTTTACATTTTGAAGTATATTAATTTCAAAAAATTGAAAAATTTTTCTATAAGAATTATCTTCTTCATTTATTTTTTTTTTTTTTTCTCCTTTGTATAATACTTCTATAACATCATCTCCATTTAAATTATACATTTCATCGTTTATTTTGTTAACGTATTTTGTAATTACAACGTCATTAGGTGATATTATTAAATTTTCCTCATTTTCTTCATCATAAATTTTCCTTGTTGTTAAAAGTAAAAACATAAGTTTCTTTTTTCTATTTTTATAATTTGCATTTATATAATCCATATCACTAAACTTATCAATAGAATTGTTTTGTGTATTTATAAAAATTAAATAGCTATTTTTTAATTCTTTTATAGGCTTTTTTGATATAATTAAATTATTGTATATGTATGGTGCAATATTATAATTTAACGAATATGAAAATTGTAAATAAGGAAAAAATTTAATATTATTTATATACATATTTAATGATTTTATTAACTGAATATCGTTATTTAAGTCATCAAATTTAATTATAAAAAAATAAGCATTGGTGGAACATAATGCATATGTTTTATAATGACTATTAAATTTTTTTGTATCACTATAAAAAAATTTTACATTTTTCATAAAAAAAGTTCTTCTATATGTAAAAAGAATTTTAAATTTATATTTATCTAAATGCCAAAATTTTACTATTCCTTTTTCATCACAAGATATAATATACTTATTAGACTTATGTATATCAAAATCAGTAATAGAATAATTATGAGCTCTAATAGATATTACTAAGTTTCCTGTTATAACGTGAAAAATTTTGATAAAACCATCTTTTCCAGTAGTTATAACATTTTCACTATTTTCATCAAACTTTACTTTTGTAATAAAATTATAATCTTTTTTATGAGGGAGAAAATGAGACAGTATAGTTATATTTCTTTTAATATTTTTTATACAGTAATTAAATTCTTCAAACATAGATTTTGTATTAATACTATTCCTGTTTTTTATGTCATTTTTTGCATAAAACAATTTATATTTTACTTTGTTATATAAATTATTATACCGATTACACTCATAACTTGTTATTTTTATAGATTTCTTTTTGTTATTTTCATACTCTTCTTTTAATTTATTTTGACTATTAAAGAAAAGCTCTTTTATATTATGTTGAGGATATTTACATGTTAATATATTTATAACATTCTTAAAAATATTAAACATATCTGATTCTATTTTATTTTTTTTACACAAAGACATTTTTTTATTTTCCATATAATTTTCATCATTTCTCACTTTTAATTGTTTATTTTTTGTTGTAAAATCTATTTCTCTATCTCTTGCTGATAAACATGTATTTATATTGCTATTAAAAAATTTCACAATATGATTTGTAGTATCATTATAAATAGTATTATCATAATTAATTTCCTTATTATTAATAACATTTTTATAACTATTTTCACTACTGAAAAATAATTTATCTCTATATTCATTAGATAAATCTATGCTCTTACCACCCTCTGTAATAGAACTTCTATTCCTTTTATGGCTTACATGGTTTGTTTTGCAGTTAGTTAAATTTTCTTTTTTTATATTTTCAGATATTTTAATATAATCATCATTATATCTTAAATTATTATTTGGAATAGTGCTTCCACAATTATCATTTTCATCTATATAATTATTCATTTTATTATCATCTTCAATAATTAAATTGTTCTTTTTTAACACTTTATATACATCATGAGTTATTTTACTACTGCTATTCTTCTTAATTTCTTTCAGACATATATTCATTAATACTTTGTAAGAATCACTTACATCAATATATTCAGTTACATTTTTGTTTAATTCGTTCAATTTTTTTAAGCGTCCTTTTTCAAAAGTATTTTCATTCATTAAGTTTTTATTTAAACTTTCATAATTTTCAAACAAGCAATATTTATTATTAACATAATTTGAATTATCATAATTTTGATTATGTTTTGATTTTATTTTACTTTTTATTTCATCATTTTCATTTATATTATCATTATTAATACTTGGATTATTTTTTGTTACTTTGCCATTTTCCTGTACTTCATCATTGTTAATATCTAGAAAAATATTTTCTTCATATTTATCTGAAATTTTTTCTTCATCATTTAACTTTTGTTTTTTAAAAATGGAAGTTTTCTTATGGTTATTACATTTCTCTGTATTCATTTTTCTTTCTTTTTGTAAATCATAAGATTATATATATATATATATATATATTTTTTCATCTATACCTTTTATATGTTAACCTTAATTGTATTTGCTGAAATTATGGCAATATTTTTTTGTTTTTAATAACATCAATGTTTTTTATATTTTTATATATATAACTTTCTTTCTATTTTCATCATTAAACTATCTGAATAATATATATGAACTATTTTCTATATACTTAAATTCTATTCATTAATATTTTATTAATATAGCTATTTTCATTATATTCGTTACAATGTTATATTCATCAAGAATTTATATATTATTTTTATATATTTTATGAAAACTACTATTCAAAGGATTTAAGTTTGAATTATGCATAATTTTTTCAAATATCTTTTTATCAAGTATATAACAGATGTTTTTAAATTTTGTTAAAAACATAATTTTTTTTTTTTTTATTATCTTGGAGCATTTCATGTAAATTTATATATATATATATATAATTATTTACATTTTATGCATTATATATATATACATATATATTTAATAATTTTAAATATTTTGTTTTTTTTGCTTATTGCTTATTTTCACTTTCATTTTAATTTACTTTTTATGTTATTTTATTTTATTTTATTTTACAATTTGTTTTCAAAAAATATTTTTCATACTATGAATATTTTAAAGAAAGATAGAAAAATATATTTTATTTGTAATTATTACATAATTTTATTTATACCTTAACAGATTTTTGTTTTATGAATATTTAAATTTTTCATCCATTAATTAAACATTAGTATAATTTTAGAAGTAATAAAATATAATTTTTTTTTTAATTTTTTAAAAAGTACATTTTGTAAGTTTATTTTTTAAATTGTCAAAAAAATAATTTCAGATTAATTTCTTTTTTAATATTCTATATTAAATATTTTTAAAAATATGTTATAAAACAAAATGCAAACACAAACTAATTAAGAAAACCAAAAAGTTAAAAAAAAAAAAAATTAATATAAAAAAAAGCATAAGCAAAAATATGCATACTTAAAATACACCTAACTACTAAAAAGTTTTTTTTTTTTTAAATATTATTTTTTCCATTATATCAACTTTTCAATAAGATTTTACATAAATTAAGTAGATAAGTCTTTTTTTTTTTTTTTTAAGTATTTTTTCTTTGGATTCAACGGAAATATATATATATATATATATAAAGAGTAATATATTCCTAAATGCAACAATTTAAAATAAACTTAATATCTTTGTATTGAAAAATATTATTCTATAATATAAATTTCAAATATAATAGATTGTAAGAATTAAATGTTTTTGAGGATTTATTTTTTTTATATTATTAAATTTTCATTTTTGTTATTTTTCTTTTTAAAATGATAGTGTTTTATTTTTTTTTTTCTTTTTAAATTGTTTTTTATATACATAGAAATTCAAATGATATCAGTAAAATGTAGAAACAAAAAACAAATAAATGAAATGCAAAATATATGTAAAAATATTCACTCAAATATGAGTACTTCATAATTTTATAAAATGTCTAACTCTTTTTATCTTATAATTTCTCATGTTTTTTTCAAAGTACTGTATAAAATAAATTGGAGAAATTTTAATAGATGTGTCTTTTTATTTAACATATCTATATATGTATCAATTTAATTTTATTTATCTCTATTTTTTATTTTTTATTCATTTATTTCAAAGAATATGCAACTCTTATTTCTATAATGATATAAAAGTTTTTCTTAGATTCTCCTATATTTTCAATGTATTTAGTTATTTAGAAAAGATTTACATATAAAGAAATTTCTAGACAATTTGAAGAAGTGTTTTTCTAAATTTTTTTCTTTTTATTCATTTTATTATTTGTTTAAAAGAGATGTAATAAAAATATTAATCTAAAATATATATTTTTGTAAAACTATATAATTTTTTTTTTTTTTTTTTTTTTTTTTTTTTTTGAAAATCAAATATTTTATTTGTTTTGAAAATTTCATAACAATTTTATGTGTTTATCCTACATTAAAAATATTAAGTATATAGAAATATTAATAACAATCCTTATATATACCATGTAAAATTCTAAATTATTTTAAGTAACTGATTTTTACAGTATTCTTGTATTTTGTATATAAATTTTTTAAATATTATAGAAATAAGCATGCATTTATATTATTTATTTTTATGTATTTATATTTCTTATAAGTTTTTCAATGACATAAAAAGAAATAAAAAATTATCGTCTTTTTTTTTAAAGTATTCTTTACTACTATAACTTCTGAAGTTTATATTTTCTTTTTGTTATTTTTTACATTACTAAAAGTAAATATGAGATATGATAAAGTCATATATAAATAGTAGATGCGAAAATCGTTTATCGAAAAGAAAAAAAAGGGATACATGAATATCATAATTTAAAACTTTCTCTTAATTTTTTATATTAAAATAAAAAATCTTTATTGTTCATCTTTTTTTTTTTAGATTTTTTATAGTTGAATGAAACTTTTGTATCTTTTTTTTTTATTATATATTTTAAGTACTCAAGAAATATCCTTTCTTTTACTACTTATATATATATATAATTTATAGTATATAAAAAAATACTTTCTGTTTTTCATATTTTGTTGTATTCTATTTTTTTTTAAATTGTGATCAAATAAATTTTTAGCTATTCAGAACTAAAATTTCCATTTTATTTAGGAGTTAAATGCACAATAAAAAAAAAAAAAAAAAAAAAAAAAAAAAAGAGATAAGAGGAATTAAAATGTAATATGAATGTTCACGTATTTTAATTTATGAAAAAAAAAAAAAAAAAAAAATTTCGTATAAAATTAATACTTTTATAATTTTGTGTGTAGTATTATTTTTGTTATTATTCTCTTTTTTTATTATGAATTTTTTTTTTTTACATACTGTATATAAAGTACTTTTCTTAATATACTTTTAAAAAATTTTGTATTTTAAAAAAATAAATTAGATGCATATTTATAATAAGTAGTTAAATATTCAAAGTGTTTATTTTTATGTAACAATTTTATGCATATAGAAAAAAAAAAAAAAAATGAAAAAAATGAAATAAAATAATAATATGGAAATAGATAATTTACAAAGAAAATTAGATAAGGAAGAAGTGAGTATCTTAAGGAACATAAAAAAGTGTGAAGTTAATTTAGATAAGATACACAAAAATGAAAAAAAAGAATATTTAAATGATATAACTGGAGAAAATAATGCTAATGATAATTCATTTATTAACTCTGATGAAAATGTAAATGAAAATAGAAAAAATTGCATTTTAAAATATAACAATAATAAGAGTATAAATATAATTAATAATATAAATAATTCCAGCAATATTACAGAGAACATTTATTCATGTGAGATAGTTAATAAGAACAATAATTTAGATATATCATCATCATTTAGTAAAACAAACATCAGCGATTTTCACAAAAGTAATAATTACATTAACAGTGAATATAATAATATATCATATAATAAAAATAATACAATTCAATACGATGTATTAGAAAGTGTTAAAAGAGAAGAATTACTTTTTTCAAGCATAACAAATGAAAATTCGTTAAATGAAGAAAAAAATATATTTAATTCAAATGATTCTAGTGAAAGTAATTTTGTGTGTAATGATGAAATTAATGAAATAAATAGTTTAATTTTTCCTGACGAACAAAAAAAAAATACTCTTGAAAGTTTATCAAATAGCTATCTGAAAAATGAAGATGAAATAAATTTTAATCAAGACGAAAAAGATATGGAGAGTGATGATGATAAAGAAATAAAAAGAATATTGAATGTACTTCAAAATTTAAAAAATTATAAATTTAATGATTCAAATGATTTTGATAATGATGCTAATTATGAATGTTTAGATAATGGAAACTCATTAAATGAAAATACAAATTTACATAAATGCGAAATTGATGAAGGTAATAAAATTGAAGTTGAAAACATTTTTTGTGATAAAAATATTCCTTTCCTTGAAAATGAATATGCATTTAATAATACAAAAGATAATGATGGAGAAAATATTAACATATGTAAAATAAAAGAAAAATATAAAAATTTTACCCTTTCTCTAAATGTTTTAAATGACTATGAAATGCATAATAACAATATGAAAGAGAAAAATGAAGAGACAGAAAATGAAAAAAGTGAAATAAAAAGTAAAGAAAATAGGGAATTAGAAGAAGAAAAAAATGAAAGAGGAAGTGAGATAGAAAAAGATAATACCTTATATAAAGAAGAAAACAAAGAAAAAAATGAAGAAAATATATTAAAAGAAGAATATATATTATACAAAGAAAAAAGCAACTTGGAAGATGAATTAGAAAAAAATAATAAATTATACGAAAATAAAAATGATGGAATATGTGAAGATAGTATTGATGAATTAAATAAAAAAAAAATTAAATTAAATGAGGACAATAATGATGAATTAAATAAAAAAGAAAATAGTAATACATTTACTGAAATGCAAAATTACGATAAATACACCAGTGAAATTATGAATAACAAAAGTTTTAGCAATTTATTTTCTAGTTATCCAAATAATATTAAAAAACAAAAAGTTTATTATAATAACTATAAAAACAGTTATAACGAAATAATTAATTACCAAAAAAGTTTTTCCATCCTAACTAGTGATCAATCAGATACTTATGTAACAAAAGAAAGAAATAACAGTAAAAAAAATAACGTCAGTTATAAAAATAAATCGATTGAAAAAAAATATCATTATAATAACAAAAGTAACCTTAATTCTAAAGCGAAAAATATTATTTATGGAAAAAAAGAAAAAAATAAAAAAAATTCAATTAATTTAACCATGAAACGAAAAACTGATCAAGAAATATTGTTAACTGAAACTGAAGAAAAAAAAAACGAAGAAAATTTAAATTCGGAAAGTAATACAGTGAGTTTCATTTTGAGTAAGGATAACAAAAATTTAGAGAAAATAAGAAAAAAAAAATTATTAAAGGCAAATATTAATAATGTAAAAAATATAGATAAAACTAGCGATAATTATACAAATGATATAAATGAAAATGTAAACGATGGAAAATATATGAACGTAAATAATGATAATACAGATTTTCCTGATTCCAATATTTTAGAAAGTACAAAAAATATTTCATCACAAAATAGAGATATTACAGAAAAGTTAATAGATATAGAGAAGTTAAATACTTTCAATGAAGAAAATTTTGAATTTGATATGTATTTGAATAAATTAAATAATTTAAAAAGTCTTCTTCATCAGGAAATTAGTGATAGTGATGATAATAGTACTGTTGAACTAATTAAGGAAGAAAATATTATTATTGATAAAAATGATCATAAAAAAAAAAAAATAGATGAAGAAAATGAAGACAAAATAAAAATGATAGATGAAAATGAATACAAACAACAAAAAAAAGATGGAACAATATGTGAATATACTAAAGATGATAATATTATAGAGAAAGATGAAAACGAAAATTATATAAATAAATTTATATATGATAATAATGTAGAAGATAATAATTTGAATTTAGAGAAACAAAAGTTGAAGATAGAATTACTTATAGAAAAAAATAAACTCTTGAAAAATGAAATGAAGAATTTGCAAAATAAAATAATTATATTTAAAAAAAAAGAAATAAAATTTAATAAAAATAAAGAAAAATATAAAAGAAAGTTATCAATGATTAACGATTATGAAAAAAAAATAGATTATATTATAAATGATTTTAATAAGCTGAAGGAAAAGTGTACAATTAAGGAAAAAAAATTAGCAAAGTTCGAAGAAATAACAAAATGTATGAATGAACAATTTTCACTTAGTAAAATTCAATTTGAAAATAAAATGAATGAATACGTTATATTTTTAAAAAAAAAAGATTCAGAAATATATATGCTTAAAGAACTAATTAAAGAAAAAGAAAAAATAATTTCATTTAATGATAGTATATTAAAACAATATAAAAATGATATTGATGATATGTTAATGCAAAATATTGAAAGAATTGAACATGTTCAGAAAAAATTAAAAGTACAGCAAAGTATGATAAAAGAAAAAGAATTAAAATCAAAAAAAGCGGAAGAAGAAATTAGAACTTATTTAGAACAAATAAATAAATTAGATAATGAAATAAAAAGGTTAGAATTACAAATAAAGATGGAAGAAGAAAAAAAGAAAGAATTAAAGAGAAGTTATGAAAAGGAAAAGGAAAAAAATATAAATTTAACTAATCAAATTGAGGAATTAAATAAAGTAAATAATGATTTACATTATAAGGTAGATAATCTTAATGAAAAGGTAGATAATTTATTAAACAATGAAAAAAATATTATTAATGATAAAAATGAATTAGTTGAATGTAAAAAGTTATTAAAAGAAGAGAATGAGAAAATTAAAAGTGAAATAGATTTATTATTAAAAGAAAAAATAAAAGTTGAAGATAGCTTAAACACAGTTAATTTAGAAAAAAATAAAATATGTGAGGAAATAGAAATCTTGAAAAAAGAAAATGAACAAAAAAACTATGATATAACTAATTTAAGAAATGAATTAAGTAAGCTAGAAAAAAAAAGTAAAGAATTGCAAGAAGAAAAAGACAACCTTCAAAAAAGAAATATGGATGAAATTTGCGAAAAAGACAAAATGAAAAATATTTTAGAAGAGAGAAATATAGAAATAGAAAATTATCAGAAAGAAAAGGAATTAACAGAAAAAAAAATTTCTGATTTAGAAAAAATCAAGGAAGAAACCATTTTCAAGAATGAAAAAGAAATTGAGTTTTTAAAAAATGAAGTAAAGATTTTGGAACAAAAACTTGAAGAAACGAGCAAATTGTATAACAAAGAAAAAGAAGTTATAGAAAATTTAAATGAGGAAAAAAATAAATTTATTAAAGAATGTGAGAGATTAAAAAATAAAAATAAAAAAATTACATCCAAATTAAAAGAAAACCAAATTAATGCCAATGAAACTTTAAACAAAATTATTAAAGAAAAAGAAGAAAATTTAGAGAAAGAAAAAAATGATTTTTCAAAAAAACTTGAGTCATTAGAACACGAGTTTCAAAAATCATACAGCGAAATACATGAACAAAAAGAAAAATTAGAAATAGAATTAAATGAATTAAAGACTATAAACGAAGATATCAAAAAAAATTCTAAAAACCTTTTAAATGTTAATGATCTATTAATGAAAGAAATGAAAACATACAATGAAGAAAAAGAAAAATTTATTAAAGGATTAAAAAATATCAAACAAGCATATATAAAATTAAAAAATGAAAATGATGAATTGAAGAAGAATTCTTTCTCATATATTAAGAAAGAAATTGAGGAAAATTATGTATCCATAAATATTCATAATAATGTATTAAACGAACAAAAAAATCTAATTTTAGAAAAGGATATAATGAAATCTCAATTAAAAGAAAATGAAAGCTTAATAAACGTTTTAAACAAAGAAAAGTCAGAAATTAGTGAAATTTTAAGTAAAATTACAAAAGAAAATGAAGAATTAAATACAAATATAAAAGTCAAAAGTAAAATTACAGAAGATATAACTTTAAATGTTGAGGTTAAAAAAAAAAAAAAAAATTCATTTGTTAATTTACATGTACCAAAAATATCTATATAATAAAAAAAAAACTAAATGTATTTATTTATTTATTTATATAAATTTTTATATAATTAAAATACTAATAATAAATATTATTATTATTTTTTTTTATATTTTCTTATTAGAAATTGAAGTTGGATATAAATAATAAAGAAGAAGAAATAAAGAAAAAAACTCTCGAAATTAAAAAAGTAGAAAGAGATTACAAAAAATTATTAGAGGATTACAAAATAGAAAAAAAAAATTTAGTTTCAAAATATGAGAATGAACTAGACACATATATAAGCAAATGTGAATTTACTCATGCAAAATATAAAAAAAGCGAAGAAGAAGTAAGAATAATTTATAAATAAAAAAATACATATATATATATATATGTGTAACAAGCTTAAACTTTTTTATGTAATTAAACAAGTACATTAAAGTATATTTATAATTAATGTACATATAACTTTATTTTAATTTGTTAATATAAAATTATATTATTGTCTAAAAATATGATAGAAATTAAAAAAAAATGACTTTATAATAAAAAAAAAAAAAAAAATCTTCTTTTGCATTGTGTTAATATAGATTAAAGAATTAAAAAATAAATTAAAAATGAAAGATGAAGTAATAGAATACACCCATAAAGAAATAGAAAATATCAAAGAGTCTTTCTGGTATTATATGAAGAAAATAGTTTTTTTTAATAAATTTTTAATAAATGGTATTGATACTATTATTTTGTTATTATTTTGTTTTTTGCAGCAATGAATATGAAAATAAAATCAAAAATTTAGTTGAAGAAAAAGATAAAGAAATAAATTTAATTCAAAAAAAGTATAAGGAATTGCATGAAGATAATAACGTATGTCTAACCTTTGCAAAAAAAAAAAAAAAAAAAAAATGAAGAAAATATATGGTTTAATATATATATGAAAATGTATATTTACTTAATATATATATACCTTTTCTTAATTTTTTTTTTTTTAGATGAATAAAAATGAAATAATAAAATTAAATAAAATGCTAGAAGACGCAAATAAAAAAATAAAAAAGAGGGATATGGAGATGTATATATTACTTGAAGAAAATAAAAAACAAAAAGAAAAGGCTGCAAAAAAAATGACAAAAGTAAATGAGTTACTAAATAATCTACATAAAGAATATACTGATAATATTCCCTAACTCTAAAAACTTTTTCAATTTTCAAAAGTAATATTCAATGTAGGATTTTATTTAAAAAATTATGAATCTTGATTTATTAAAATATTTAACAATTTTTTAAAACTATTTTATAAATAAATGTTTAAAATTTTATTATTATTTTTTTTATTTATTATCTATATTTATTTTTTAAATATGTATGCATATGAAATAATATATTTTAATTTGTTTTATTTTATATGCTTTGTAATATTTATAAAAATGGTAATGAAAAAAAAAAATTGTCTACTTTTTTTAATTTTTTTGTCGTAATATTTTTAATAAAAACAGCATTAAAATAAGTTATTCTTTTTTTTTTTTTTTTTTTTTTTAATAAATTTTTAAAGAATATATATATATATATACATAGATTTTTTTTTCTTTTTTTTTTTTTTTTTTGTATAATGAAAATTTTTAATTTAAAAAAAGAAAAATATAAAAAATTACAATATTATATAACGCTTTCATTAATAGTCTTTATTTAGTTTTCGTCATCAGAAGATGTTAAAACATCATTTGGTGTAATTACTTTTAAATTTTTTGGCAAAGAGCTTTCATTTCTTGGTAATGTTACTTTTTTAAATGTAAGTTCATTTGAGTTTGGTTTATTCTCAGTAGAAACCATTTTTTTGAATTGAAAATTCAAAAATGTATTATTAATTTTCCTTTTTAAATTTTTCATTTCATAATTATTATTCAAATTATTTTTCAATATAAAATTTTCTAATTCCTCATCTATAATTGCATTTTTTGTTTTCAAATGATTATAAATAAGAAAAGCAATTTTTTTTTCCGAAGGTAATATAAATGTAATTGCCTGTCCTGCTAGGTAAAAAAAAAAAAAAAAAAATACATGTTCATATAAAAATACATATAATATGAAAAATGTATGATCATTTAAAAAAAAATAAAAAAAATAAAAAAAATATCATGTAAATTAAAATTAGGATGATCATAAATTTTTGAATGTACTGAAAAGTATATAAAATTAAAAATCATATACATAGTATGGAAATTAAAAATAATTATAAGAATATCAATGTATATATATTTCTTGATTACCTTTGTTATTTACTCTGGAACATCTACCTATCCTATGAATATAAATAAAAATATCATGAGGACAATCAAAATTAATTACAAAGTTTAAATCGACTATATCAATTCCTCTAGACATTAAATCAGTACTAATTAAAATTTGTGTTTTTTTTTTTTTTAAACTTTCAAATTTATATATTCTCTCTGTTTGATCAATGTCACCATGAATATAATCAAATGAGATATTTTTTAAAGAAAATTCTTTTTTCAACTTTTCATATAATTTAATAACATTTTTTTTGCTATTACAAAAAATAAATCCTTGTCCTGTACTTAAACACTTTTCTATATTCGTTAACAAGTATTCATATTTAAGATTTTCATCAACAATATAAAACTTTTCATCTATTAGAGAATTATTATCACCTATTTTGGTTATAATAAATTTTTTATTAAGAAAGGGCCTAATCACTTCAATCATATTATCCGAAAATGTCGATGAAAATAAACCTTTCAAAGCATCATTTCTAATATTTTTCAAAATAGATATAACTGAATGGATGAATTGTTTTGAAAATAATTTATCAAATTCATCTAAAATGACATACTTAATGTTTATCAAAGAAAGATATTTTTTATTTACAAAATTAATTAATGTTTTGACATTTGCTATAATAATATCTATCCCTTTTTGAATATCATCGTATGCTTTTTTATAATTAATTCCATTAAATAACATGCATGATTTTAATCTATTCATAGATATCTTGTTCATTTCATCAAAAATTTGTACACATAATTCTCTCGTAGGTGTTAATATTAATGCGTGTGGATATATATAATTTTTTCTTTTTTTTACACTTCCTTCATTATTTTTTTGTTCTTTTTTTTTATGGTTTAACAAGTGAATAATTAAAGAGATAACATAAGATAGAGTTTTTCCTGATCCGGTTCTACTTTTTGCTATAAAATCTCTACCACTTAAAAAAATTGGTATGACTATACTTTGAACTGGTGATAAAATACTTATTGATTTATTATAAATATTTTCTAATATTTCTTTATCTATTAGATTTTTTAACTGTAAAAACGAAAATATTGGCTTTGGTACATTAAAACCAATAGTTATAATATTATTTTTTTTTTTATATTCAACACTTTCTTCTAAGGTAAAATTACTTATTTTTTCATCAGTAATAAAGATGTCTTTACTAAAATCTTCCAATTCAACTTCATCATAGTTTAAGTTATCTATAATTTTTTCTTCTTCCTTGTTATTATTTTTTTCAAAGTGAAGAAAATAAAAATCATCATTATATTTATTTTCATTGTCATTTACATTATCATTATCATTTCTTTCTTCATTTTTCTTTTTTTCAATGAATTCATATATATCTGCTGTTGCATCATTATCATCTAAACTATTATCATCGTCATTATTTTCATTATTATTTGTTGAATTAAAGTATGTAATTTTTTTGTTATTTTCACTTAAATATTTCTCATTGTTATTTTTTTTATATTCCCCTTCACAATTACTATTAATTTTTTCTTTTAATTCTACTTTTTTTTTTTCTTCTTCAATAACTTTATTTATTTCTACCATAAATTCATCTAATGGATCAATTTCCTCTTCATTCTTTAAAACCATATTCACATTTTTTTTATTCTCATAATTATCATTCTCATTATCTTCAAAAAGTTTATCCTCATCTGAATCAATCATCTTTAATTTAGAGTTTCATGTTTAAAAACTTCATTAAATATGTGTGTACAATAAAAAAAAATAGTTATAAAAAAACGGAAGAATAATAAAAAAAAATGTAAAAATTAATATTCAAAAATTACCTCAAAAAACAATTATTAAAAGAATTTAATGAAGTAAAAAGATGAAAAATAAAAAAATAATAATATTTAAAATAAAAAAAGAAAAAGATTAATGAAAAAGATAAATTATAAATTAACAAAAAAAAAAAAAAAAAAAAAAAAAAAAAAAAAAAAAAAAAAAAAAAAAAAAAAAAAAAGAAAAATGAAAAAAAGATATGCATATGCATGTGAATATATTGTAGGAAAAACTGTTAACCAAAAAAAAAAAAAAAAATACATTACAAAACTTAAAAAGATTTATAGATTCTATATTTAAGCATATTTTTTTGAGCAAAAACAAAAATTTAGAAGGTATCGTTATGGTATTTAAAAAAAGGATTAAAAAAAAAAACTTATATAGAATAAGTCCTACTTTTTTTTTAAAAATAGTATTTAATCTTTTTTATTTTTTTTTTCAATTTAATAAAAAATATATAAGAAATAAAAAATATGTATAGGTTTATAAACAACAAATTAAGCTTTTTTTTTTTTTTTTTTCTGATATTTTGAATATATAAATTTTAGCTAGAAAAAAAATTATATGAATAGTGTACAATTCTGTATGTATATATATATATAAGTATAATTTTTTTTAAAGGAAAAAGAAAAAAATGTTAAATAATACAGTTATAATAAAAAAAGTGCCACCGTTTATGAACGAATTAGTAGAAACTTATAATATTTGCTATGGTGGTTTAAATAAAATTGAAAGATGTGTATTTGGTAGAAAGGTGGTAAGAAGAATTAATATGAAAGATACAAAAATGTATCAATTATGTATAATACATTATCAACTATGTAATAGAGAGAAGATATATAAAATATCATATATTCAAGATAATTTAGATTTATGTAACGGTTTTTTTGATAAAGATTCGAAAATGTATTTCTCCAGTGATGGTAGTTTAGGATGCTTATTTTCCAATAATGATAAAAAATTAAGAATAGATCTTTTTAAAAATGAATCAATTAATGGAAAATTTTTTTTTACATGTATGAATAATGTGTCAATTAACGATATACACAGAAATTTTTTTTTTCATGAATCCTTTTGCTCTTTTAATTCTAATAACACGTTATTAATATATAGTGCTGAAAATGATGATATTCGGCTAAAAAAAGAAAACAATTTACCATCAAAAGAAATAGAAATGTTAAAGAAATTGAATAATGGAGTTTATATAGAATCATTTGGTGAAAAATTTAATTGTTCTTTTTTTTATTTATATGTTTATAATTTGTTAGATAATTCTGTTAAATATATAACAGTAAAAGATGTCTCAAGTTGTTATTATAGCCCTCAATTTATTGATGAAACATCTTTTGTTTGTTTATCATATAGAACAGTACCATTCAGATTAGGTATATATGCTTTTAATACTAGACCAAATGATTTATATTTGTGTACACTGAATGACTCAGATATAGATAACTGTGAGGATAAAAAAACGAAAAATAAAAAGAATTATATTCGATGTGCTTATGTAAAGTTATCAGGAAAACATTTTAAGCATACAGCTTCTCCAATTGTTATTAAACATAATGAAGAAGTTTATGTTGCATGTTTAGTAGTTTTTATGAAAGGTGAAGAATGCAAGCAACATATTATGGAATATAATTTAGTTTTAATTAAATTAGCTAAAGAAGAAATAAAGCAGAAAAAAAAAAAAAAAGTGCAAGATGAGAAAAATGAACATTATTACAATAATTCTTTCTCAAGTATAGGAAGTAGTGAAGAAAATTATTACGATAATAATACTAACGATGAAGAAAGAGATATGAATAAAAGAATGAAGTCAGATAATTTTTGTGATCACAACGATGATATATGTAACTATAAAAAATTAGAAACTGAAGTAATTATTAAAGAAGGAAATTATACTTCCTATTTTAGAGGTTTATATACTAATGAAATAAAAGGGTATTGTTATCCATATATTTTTTTAAACACTATTTTTTATAGTAGTAAAATTATTATTGCTGTTCATATGTTTACAAAAAAAATATATAAAGTTCTTATATATAATATATATGATAAAAATGATATAAATACAAGCATAGAAATTTTGTGCATGAAAAATGACAATATATTTGTGAGTATAAGAAATATGTTATTGAATGATGTTTTAGCTTATTGTATATTTAATGAAGCAAATATCAAAGGTGATTATATATATTTAACTAATTTAAAAAGTTACAACCTGGATTTTTTAACATATGATACTATTAAAAAAGAAAAAAGTATTTTATATTCCAATGTTAATGATAATTCAAAAAAATTATTTATGATTTTAAGCGAAATGGAAACGAGCATATTTAAAGAAAAACATCCCTATATAAGAAGAAAAAATCCAAGTTTTAATTTATTATATGAAGATGAACAACATTTTAAATATGATGTACAACAAAAAGGATTACATTTACCAAATTTTAATTTATTTAATGAAAAAAAATTAAGAAATTTAATTTTATATATTCATGGAGGACCTTATAGCACTCTTATAAATGAATACAAAAATGTTTTTATTTTTTATGCTGCATGTGGTTTTGACATTTTGTGTATTAATTATATAGGATCTTTAAGTTTTTCTGATAAACCAAATGTATTATGTGGAAACATAAATTCAATTGAGATAAATGACATAATAGAAAATTTTAAAGATTTCGTTAATTATTTTGGTGATTATGAAAATGTATATTTATATGGTGCATCTTATGGTGGTTATGCTGTTTGTTCAATTTTAACTAAATATAATTTATTCAAAAGTTCTTGTGTAATAAATGGTATATATGAATGGATATTATCTACTTATTCAACAGATGTTCCTGACTATTTTTTTAATCTACCTTTAAATAAAAATTGTGAATATGATGGTAATTATGATAAACAAGATTATTCACGCATATACGAATTATCTCCAATAAATTTTGTAGAAAATATTTCTTGTCCAGTTTTAATTATATGCGGAAAAGATGATTTACGTGTTTCCTATCATAATAGTATATCTTTATATAATAGATTAAGAGGATTAAAAAAAAAATGTAAGTTATTTTTATTTGAAAACTGTAATCACTCTATTGAGAATTATCTCCATGAAGAAACTATGCTTATGAATGTTATTTTATGGTTTTACGATTATGAAATAAAAAAAAAAAAGTAAAAATATTAATGCTAATAATAAACATATATAATGTCTCTTTTTTTTTTTTTTTTTTTTATTGTAGCTTTTCCTGTAATATCAAATTTTAATAATGTTCTTTGTTCTTTTATTATGTTTATTTTATATTTATATATATTTTTTTTTATTAGCAACATTTATAAAAGTTACCTATTACATATGTTTAATTAATACATTTTTCAACACGTTACATCAGAAAAAAAAACACTTTTTTTTTTTTTTTTTTTATTCTGTATGAATGTCTTTGTACTTTTTATAAATATTTCTATTTTTTTTTTTTTTTTTAATTAATTTAAAATTTGAAAACATTTAAATTATAAGAAATTATTAATTTTGTATATATATATATATATATTTTATTAAAATAATTTTTTTAAAAAAATATTTTAATATTTAAAATACTTTAAAAAAAATTTCTTTTTTTTTTTATATATAAGATATATAAAAAAAAAAAAAAAGGTATATCTTTACAAAATATGTACCAATATTTAAATATATGATACATAATTCAGCATTTTTAAAATTATAGAAAGGTGTTAACATACTGATTTAAGGATGTCTTTTTCCAGTACACATATTTGATTATTTGCTGATCTAATAAATATAAAAATAAAGAAAAGAAAATAAAGTTAAAATGAAAAATATATAAAATATATTTATCAAATATATATTTTGATATTGAAAAGAGTTTATAAAATAATACAAAATTAACATATTTTAAAAATATGTATATGTAAAAATATGCTATATCTATATAAAAAAATATTTTTACTTTCTTGTAATGGAATTTATTATATTATCTTCTGAATGATTATTTCTTTCTGTGATTCAAAAAAAAAAAAAAAAAAAAAAAAATAAAAAAATAAAAATATTTAACATATATAAATTATATTTTAATAAATTATTATATTAAAATAAATTTATAGACAAATGAGAAAAAACCTGTTATCCATGGATGATTTAATAATTCTGTTAATGATGGCCTTTTTCCATAATTTTTTTCCAAAGCTTTTTCAAGAAAATCATAGATATTTTTACTAAGATTATGACGGATTTTCAAAGTAGAAAAAGGGATATCATTTTTGACAATTTTAAAATAATTCTTTAAAATATTTCTACTTATAAAAGGATAAGATCCAAATAATAAGAAAAATAATAATACACCTACGTACCATGTATTATTCTTATCATGATATAATCTTTTAATTTCTTGTGGTGATCGAATGAAAAATAGACCATATAAATCTCCATTTTGATCAATATTATCATATTTGTTATTTTTACTTAGTAAACTTAATCTTATTTCCTTTCTATTTTTATCTTTAAAAAAAATACAGTAACCATTTAGATTACCATGATATATGTTATTCTTTTCAAGAAAACAAAGAGAAGTTATTATTTGATAAAACCATTCTGATAATAATCTTTCATTAATGCAATCATTATTTTTTAAGATATCAAATAAAAAACCACCTCTTAAAAAAAAAAAAAAAAAAAAAAAGAATATATATGTTATATTTATACTATATCTAAATTTAAATAATTTTTTAAAATTACGTGCATTTTTCCGTTATAACATAAACAGAATTGTTATCTTCGTATAAATTATAAATTTTTAATAGATAATTAGGAATAGCCAATGTATTTGAATATGTAAAGTCTCTTATTTTCATTAAATAATCAAATGTTATTCCTTTTAGTATGTTTTTATTTACTTTTCTAACCATTCTTTCTTTGTTTCCTTTCACAAAAATAGCAAAATATAACTCTGAATCATCATTTTTATTTATTCTTCTTTCTAATATATATCCTTGATGAAAATATTTTGTATTTTTTTCTTTTGTAGGATAGCACAACCCCATTATAAAAAATAATAAAAATACATATATATTTATATACTTAAAATGGAATAAGAATAAATTTCAATACATTAATGTGTGTAAAAAAATATAAAAAAAATTAAATTAACAATCTATATATTCAAAAAAAAAAAAAAAAAATTTAAAGACATCATTATTATATATATTTTTTATTTTGCTTTTTTATATTAATTATTTTAGCTATTATTAAAGAAAAAGAAATTTAAAGTTTTTTTTTTTTTTTTTTTTTTTTTTTTTTTTAAATAGAAAAAGTTTTTTTTTTTTAAATAAAA